GGACATCCTCCCCATAGTCTGGTCAAAGCCAGGAAGAGTAATGCACTCAAGCATGAATTTCAATTATCAGTGAAAGCAGGGGAATCCTGCCACGTGACATCGAGGCTTCACACAGAAAACCCTGGAAAGGTCTATGTGGCATTTGCAAAATGGCCACAAATAAGTCCCACCCTTGTGTGCTGGTCTCCTTGCCATTTCTCCCATCAAGAAATCTATTTTCTGCCTTTCAAATCTGAGCTGGTTTTGTGATTTGCTTTCACCGTGGGATATTAGCAAATGTGGCACAAGTAGAGGCTTGAAAAGTGCTTGCACAGTGGGGCGTGGTGGTTCACACCTTTAATCCCAGCACTTTGGGATGTCGAGGCGGGCTGATCATCTGAGGGCAGGAGTTCAAGACCAGCCTGGCAAAGATGGGGAAACATCATCTCTCCTAAAAATACAAACATTAAGGCCAGGCACTGTGGCTCACGCCTGTAATCCCAGCGCTTTGGGAGGCTGAGGCAGGTGGATCACCTGAAGTCGGGAGTTCGACACCAGCCTGGCCAACATGGTGAAACTCTGTCTCTACTAAAAATACAAAAAAAAAAAAAAAAAATTAGCTGGGTGTGTTGATGGGTGCCTGTAATCCCAGCTACTCAGGAGGCTGAGGCAGGAGAATCACTTGGACTTGGAAGGCAGAGGTTGCAATGAGCCAAGATCATGCCAATGTACTCCGACCTGGGCAACACAGCAAGACTCTGTCTCAAAAAAAGAAAAAAAAAGTGCTTGCACATTGGAGCTTGCCAATGTTCTTACCACTATAAGAAAATAACTCAAACTAGCCTACTAGAAAGGCCACATAGATGAGAACTAAGGCATGCACCCCAACAGAAAGCCTGCTAACCAGCAGACATGTGAGCAAGGCCCATCCTGAATTCACCATTTATCCCAGATGAGACCTAAGAAGAACTACCCAGCTTAACTCAGCCCAGATGGCCAACCCAAAGATTTGTGAACTAATACACCTTGTTGCTTAAAGTCACTAGACTTTGGGGTAGTTTGCTATGCAGCAAAAGCTAACTGATACAGTCCCTGCCAACTCTGAAATATTTTTAGTATGGCTTACCTCCATTTTTTAAGGGTGGTAGCTCAGCTGTCTTCAACTCAAAGTCACTATTAGTAGGATGGCCAACAAAGTGCTTCTTCAGGGTCCATATCTTAGTACGAACCATCCTGAAGCTCCTAGAACACAGTAAATATGCAGTCAACTGCCATGCATTCTAACAGTTCCCTCGCCATCAAACTGAGCCCAGATAGCACAACTACAA